GGGGGGGGGGGGGGGTTAGATTGTGCGTGGTCATTAACTCAATGGTCTGATCCACTTGGCTCCAGATGGAGAGGGCGCAAAGATAAAGACATAATCGCCTAACTTTTTGAACTACTAGACGCAGTATGTGCGTTTGGACAATAGCACACTGTTGATTTTCTTTGCAGTATTCTGAATGAACCGAAAAATGCGTCAGCGGTCGCAGTCGGTGATCTAAGTGTCACGCTTTTAGAGCCTCATCCTACATCGGGAAGTGGCAGTGGTCCTTGAAGTTGGTTTGTTTACCCATCTGAAATGCTATTTTTGAGCTGGCTTACATATATCAGAAAGTCGTCGTGAAGCTTTTGGGGAAATACCCTGCTTGACAAACACAAGTTAAACAGTAAATGCCGGGTGAAGGAAACATTTTCGAGCAACGGACTAACAGCATGAACGACAAAACTCACTGGGAAAGAGGCTTGCGATGCCGAGCGCTTCCGAACGGCGATAATTCAGTTGATGTTTCTTTTACATCCGACAACGCGCGACTCACTCAAGCTGGCTTCTTGGCGTTCAACACCACTGCGTCATGGCTTTTATGTTTTTTTTTCTGTACGATGAGTTCTTGATAACCACTTTGATGCGATCATTAGGCATAACACCATGTATCATGTATGCATCCTAATCCTGCCGGCCAAACAGTGCATCTAAAGACCCACGATGTCTCAGTCTCACTAGTCTTTGAGGGCTTCATTTGTTATACAGACACTGAACGCTCGTTAGCATGATAACGGTCAGTGCCATATGGAGTTCTCCAGGCATCAGCATTCACATCCTGGTTTCTTCTCCGCCACTGAGTTGGGTCATGAATAATGACAAGGGGAGACGGGATGATTAGAAAATTAAGTTCCGTATTTTTTCATGGCCCAAAACGATTGAAGTGAGATCGCCAGTTAGTCGCTTCTCGATTCACAGTTGAGAATCCATGTTTTCCTCCTGACTTTCGATGCGTGCTTGCAGAAGATGTAGCTCCTAGAAATTATGAGCCATTCATCCTTAGGCTCTAGTGCTCCTCATAGGAGCTTCCGCTCATCCTGGCCGTCAGGGTTCAGTTTATATAAGAATTATGGTACAACGGTTCCATAAGGTGGAAATTTTGAATATGAAAAATATCCGTAAATGAGTGGGATAGGCACTGCCCTTAACCAGGCCCGCTACGGACGACCCCCATTACACGTAGTGAATAAAACCTATCGTGATCCATTTCCATTTACAGTTTTCTGTAGCCTCAGGTTGACTCCATCAACATCAAGTTGGACACCATGCACCATCCACTACTCTCCCTCAGGAGAGTATATTTCCGGCATATACTGTACGCCAGACCGAACGGGTGCTTAATGTATTTAGTGGCTCCAGTAGCTATTGTGAATGTGTTGCAGGAATGTTGAGTTTGGCAGTCCCCGATTACAACGGTGTAACTGTTCGTCCGGTCGTTTCTGTACCAGCCTATCTGCGCGGACTCACGTGCCTTACTCAAACAGTAAGTGGTGCTTCAACATGTTGAAACGACCAACTACCATGCCTTTTCAAACGGCACGACACCCTCATTAGGCATTGTGGATGATCAATCATTTCTAGCAATTAGTGACGCTTATTGCTACTCTGAGCACGTTTTTCTTGATATAACTGGCTTATTTTACCCACGCAACCTTTGTCCTTTCCAGCTACGTTCTACCGAATCACATGCTCAAAACAATCGCTGAGGTACTGCCTCGTGAAAGTTCTGGTTTATTTGCATGTTGCAATCCCATTCCTCCACTGGTTCGTAAATATGTCCACGATCTTCACAAGATCATCGTCGATGCCCGAAATAAACCCATTAGCGAGTTGGTAAGTGCTGTTTGCCAAACACATTCGTATGACCAGCTTTTAAACTGTTTAGATGTCTTTGGATCACTACCTTCTAACATCGACTTTAGCTACTTCTCAGACATACGATCCCCCGTTACTTTCCACATTACGTTGAGCAAGTGGCTTTACCAGTTCTGCTTGAGGGAGTCCTTGGAGGTTAATCTGTTTTCTGCTGCATTATACTGCTGCCCTTTTATTATTTATCGTTACCCACACGGGCAGCTTCGCTTGTCAAGTTCAGAACTGCTCAATTAGTGAATAATGGATGACCAATAATTTCGACATTCGAACATCCTGGATTGTTTAAGCGAGACTGAAATATCGTATTCCATGATTTGTAAAAAGAGTTATTCGTACTGATATGGTATTCTGAAAGTTGCGAGATTTTCCGGCCTTTATTTGGTTGTGTTTCGCTCATCAACCTAACGATGATGCTCGCAGCTGCGCACCTTAGTGGTCCCCGTTCGAAGGTAGAAGGTCTCTTTTGATTTAGTGAGTAATCCAAATAGTGTAGCCTGTACTGTCCCGCGTACTCCAGATTTGTTAATTTTCATGCGTCGGTGAAAGACATCTGCTACACTTCAGTTAAATCATGTTCCCATATTCGAACGTCATTATTGCTTTCTCAAATCTGACTTCTCGGAGCGCTTGTTTCATTTTCTTAGTGCTCTCTATGGTGTACTGTCGAGTGCATTCAGTTTTCATTCGGAATAAACATAATTATTTTCCGGGACTGCTTTTCACTCATCAATCCTGGTCCATCAACGACCTTTCAGCCTTATGATACCAACCGGTCACTTTCCCAATATAGGACAGACGTGAGGCTGGGAGACTCATGAACCAGTCTAAGTACAAACTACTTATAAATAGTAAGTAAGAAAATATATAAGTTCCCAACTGTGGTCGGTTGCCGTGATGAGAGTTCTGTCACAGCGAATTGAGGGGCCGAAACAAACCTGTGACTGGAATTTGAAGGTCATTGCAACAATGAGAACACGAGCAAGTTCGATTTCACGCGGATTGTGGCTGGTCAGACTTCGGCACACAGTATTCGCACAATGGAATGGAATTTTCGAAAGCTATGACGTGTCCCTGATGCACTAAAGCAATCGGACAACTGAGTACAGAGTACCAGTCCAATGTTTTGAGCGCCACCTAGGCATCCCGGGATGTTAGCGATACTGGGTATGTATTGCACCAGACTTTCCGCCAGTGATGTGATTGCCTCAGTGGGCGATGAAATTCTGTGAGCCGCAAATATTTGAACGTAGATTGGAATGGTTTTTGGTTTGAGCGCATACGCAACAAAATGCAATATTTTGGCGCCGAACGTTTTTCAGCCAAGAGCATTGTTCGACTAATGGGTCCCGGTCAAACTTCAATCGCCGTGGGCTGTTTGAGTCGTATACATGTATGCGGTCGTTGACGGCGGACGCCTTCTTTAATTGATATTCGATATGATATGATATGAACCGAACCTCTTCTCGTATGATGGAGTAGTGCATAACCTGTTTATAAAAACAGGTTCAGCTAATTGACTGATGAGCTCGAGATAGCTCAGTGGTTAAAGCCTTGGTTCGAACCCAACCTAATCATCTCGACGGCTCCCGTCTAGGCTCGGACAGTCTGGAAAGTATCCCAGCCCTCGTGCCTTCTCCAGTTGGCATGGCAGCTAGACACTGAAACGGTTCTAAAGCTGAACGCCTTGATTTGACTAGAGTGGCGATGAACCCGATATAAACCCGCTGTGCATACATATCGAGAGTTGATCGTCAAATGTCTCCGCCCCCAACATTGAACGGTCCACGGCTAACACATGTACAACACATGTGCAATGGATATCCCGTATCCAACTTGGCTACTCATCTTGTTGCAATTCTAAGGCCACTTCATGAAAGTCTTGAGTCAAATGACGTGTCTGCATAATTTTGTTCTACTGATTGAAATTAGAGTCTTGAGGATAATGATACTTTTCTATTCTTTCTATTGCACCTATGTTGCTACATGACTTGGCGACAGCCTGAACTACTTTACTGGAGTGGAATCGTACACTAAGTAGTCGCTTATTTCTTGTATAAATGTCTGAATATGCGTACTTACATATAAAATGTACTTTCTACCTTCAAGGAACAGCCTTACTAAGAGACTCTTGTGATTGCCACGAGCTTCACTTTCTTCCATTGCTGTCAACCTTTTATTAGCCCATCATGAATCACGTCTATAAATGTGTCCATTTACCAAATATGCGGCTAAGATAGCTGATACGTTTGCAACAATAAAGAAGGTGTTGGCATACGAGTTCTACCCTCATTTCTACCTATTTTACGTCTCTTATCTGTTTGTGTTAGGAGGTGATAGAACACTACTCCTCATTTACTACAATCTTTCCCGGAAGCAACCACCACTTTTTAACCGTAGTGTACCTCAGGTAGAACAATGGGAACTCTATCTGAACGTCCACTCTCCCTATCTGCTGAGCATGAAACTGGAAGTGCTTCGTACACTGGTCTATCGAGCGCAATAAATTTCTGGCGATCTGTTGCCAGCAGAAGGCCAAGCCCGTCATAACAGACTTTCTCCGAGGACACTAAATACTCTTCAGTATTTATCAATTGTACTCTGAAAACACAAGTTCATCAATTATGCCAAGAGCTGAACTCTTGGATACCGCACTAGTTGTAGACTAGTAACACACGGATCGCTCGTCGCATTTTGTTATCTTTTTTGCAATTTTCCGGACGGACAGTGCACAACGAAGCCTCCTAATTCACAATCGAGATCCCATCGGACCCTGGGATGTAAACGACAGTATCCACAAGGTCATTTGGGCTAATCGCAGCTGCCTGTCTATCCGATAGACCAGTAGAGTTAATGAACTCAAACATTACCGAAGAGTCTCGGATCAAGTTCAGCAACGTGCAAATCCTATGATGAAATCTTGCTGTGGGTACACTACAATTCAATCAACTCATTGCGATCCATTCTACGCTAACAGGTTCGGTAGCTTTGATTTGTCAGTTGCGTGATCCCTCTGCTTCATCGCGCATGGACAGATCGAGCTGGTGGTCAGACAAAAATCCCAGAAGGCATCATTCCTTAACCATGAAGCACACGTACAACCCACTTAGCACCCCATCGGCTCGCGTCAGTAGTGTTCAAATCCCAGCTTTGTTCATTGAGAACGAGTTCTTCCTGTAACCGTAACTTACGCATGTCTATTATGCAACTTCCAGCATTTCTACTTTCAAATGCACTATACCGTGTGTTTGTGGCCTAACATCCACCTAGGACTTTGAAACACGCGAGACATTTCATGTTTTCTTTAAAGGACTCCGCTTCGTAGCTATCCATCTTAGTCCTCCCAGTTCATGGCGAACAAAAATATGGCAGTTATAATTATTGCACACAACTGAGGATGACTGAGAATCGCTTTGTAAGGAATTGTGTCGAAACATTAACACGGTTATCGTTCAACGCCCCCTACCACGGAGTTTGCGGGATGTTTCAATTCACTGCACACTGCTATTCTCATACACAGGTGCAAGACAACCCAGGTGTGTGTGACTGAGTTACTCGTTCTTGACTTTCCGTTTACATTTGGTACGGGTCTACTAGTGAGGATCCGTTCTACCTTATCTTACATCTCCATTATGGGTGGGATGTAAATAACCGAGAGTCATGTGTAATGACCGCTCACCGGGTGAAGTTATTCCAAGCCTTTGGAAAACATCCTTGAGGTATCAACAGAACACGTTTTGTGACCCAGAGAGCTCACTAGAAACAACCCACTAGACGCCCTATAGCCCCCCTTTTTCACACTGTCAGTTTAAATACTACTCAGCGTTGCCTGCATCGTGATATTACAGCTTTTTTGAAGTTTCTACTCTGATGCTCCACTCCTTGGGGAATTCACGTGTTTTGCAATTTTGTCTTACATTGTTAGTCCTTATAAGACCAAGCAAGCAGTGGAAGTGTTAGCTGCCAAAACCGATGGTTTTGAACGTTTGCAACCGGTTGAAGGGTTGACAACCGCCAGATTGACAAAATATCGATGTGGACTTATTAAAATTTTCAGTGTTTGTGTTGTGCACTCAGGAACTTTTCTGTCTAGTATTACGGGCAAGATGCAGATTTTCTCACTTACCTCAGCGGTTTCTCAATACAATGTTTCATGGCCAGATTATAGTTCCCTAAAAAATGAACAGTGTTTTCGAAAAGTATTGTATGGATAGTATACCTGTTCCGCTGCGGTCGATCACCGAATCTAGCGCTTTCTGTTCCCATTTTACAGACCGTCACTCCACTCCCGGATACCAATGTCCCGATAACTACGCCAGATCATGTCGATCCACAGCCATCTGCACCCGGTTCTATGGTATACTCTACCTTCGTACCGGCCCCTCCTCATGACCAATCTCATGGTTTCCAACCTTCCAGTAAAGTCGCAGTGACAACTGCCAAAGGTCAGCCTTCATTTTTTTCTACTTTATATTGTGTCTTCACTCCTTCAACCAGCTCCCCTGACTTGGATATCAACAGTTGATGGTGATACTTATTCTCAGCACGTTTGAACTTCACCTGAAGATTTCCACTCGCATGAATATTTCACCGTCTACGTTTTTTGTTCGTTAATTCATTAATTAAATTTAAATTGAATTGTTCAGCTGTATCACCCTTTTGGTGCCTAGCTTGCATGCTACCCGAAGGCTGCACGAGGGCTGGGATACTGCCAGGTTGTCCAAGCCTAGACAGGGGAAGTCGAGATGCAGAGATCGGGTTCGAACCACGGACCTTCCGGTCAGTAAATTCGCGCTCTAACCACTTGGGCCATTTTGCCCCATTCATATCAGCAGCGTCTACAATCTTGGGTTTTCCTAACTTCATCACACCAGCGTCTACATTCTTGGTGTTTCTTGGATTTATGTCCTCTTGCCCGGTGGCTCTTTTGAACGCACCAGTTCATAACACAATACGTTTGTTACACTTGCACAGATTTTCGGAACTCCTTAACATCGTTAAAATGCACCATCCTGCCTTCCTTAGGTAAAAGGCTGGCGGTACTGGGCCCTCGATTCCTTCATATTTAGTTTTTGACTAGTAGAATCCCTTTTCATCTGAGTTGTGTTCTTGACATTCTTCTTGACTCCATCGCCATTTTTAGTGGCCTGTTTTGTGCCATTTCTTGCACTGGCAAACAGCGATCCAGACATGCATCTGCTGACAATAACTTGTGCGATTCCTTTTGGGACGTTTCGTCCATTTGTATTAGCTGGGATGAGTGTCTGCTAAATCCAGAATGTTTTAAAGACCTGAAACGCTTTTGTGAATCCATATTTCCACATCCGAACCAATGGACAATGTTTGCACATACATGGGTTATGATTTGGAACCCTATTCGCCTCAGTTTACTGTATTTCGTCTACTAGATACGGGGGGATAGAAACACATGGGCTATGGGTTGTCCCTTTGGTGGGATGCTTGCCACATTTGGGGTTTACTCACTCCTCACGTTTACCAAAAGTATCTTTGACCTTCTCGCATGTAACGTGTCTGTTTGTGATTTATTGGGTGTCATAATTGGGTGACAGAATCAAGATTAACTATTCTGACTGTGAGGTTTTCTTCTCGTTCATTTGTTGCGTCAGATCTGGAAACCGGTCCATCACCTCTTGGTCGGATCTTCGGTGATGAGAATACACAGCATATGGACGACACATCCGAGATAACATGCCAGGTAAATGGATGTCGGTGTATGAATGTATTCGGGAGTGTGAACCAGAAGTGACTTTTTCCAAAGGTGTTACTAAATATTCCTCACTTTTGTCAAAGGATGTGATCGGTACAGATCTGGCCTCTCCCTTTAATAACACCGTCGTGTATCGTTCAGGTTACCAAATGAACTTTTAAACCAGTTGTTTTGCCTAGCCCGAACTGGAGCGAACAGACTTGTGTGATTCTCTTTTCAGATCTGGCTGAAAATACCGGCCATTTTCTGACGATCCCTTCATATCTCCCTTTCTGTTTTCCTATATTCATATAAGTCTTCAACTTGGGCCTAGTTATTCGCTATCGTCCTTGATGTTGATGCTATCAGGACTCAAAATATAAACACCATCCTAACGTATATGCCTCTTTCTTGTTGTTTATTCACTCTTTTTAGTTCCACTAATTCTATCACCTCAATAATTAAATCATTTTGTTTTTGAATTTTTTCCCATTTTCTAGTCGATTTTGGTATCCCATTAGAGTCGAATGCTTGCTGTGAACATTCATCCTCTGGCCAACGGTATCTAATACACAGTGCCGACTACTTTTCCATGTCTACCACCACTTAGTTAACCACCGTGAATTGGTCCGCCTGTCTGTTGTTTTTTTTCACACTGTATGCCTGCCTACTAAGATATAGACATCTATTGAAGTAGACCTCGAGGAGCATAGTGTCCTCGTTCAATGCAACCCACCTACGCACATCTGTTTCTCTGCAGTAAACCCTGCGGGGAGGTTGTGCGACTACTATATGATCGTGGCAACCGCGGCATTCTCTCGGCTCTGTGACCATCTTCTACCGGCGCCTTCAAATCAAACCGGACTCCGCTAGTTCAAATGTGGTACCTTTCTGAAGAGTAACTGTAATATATATATATATATATATATACATATATATATAATATTCTACCAGATTGCTCCAGCCAAGACCCGCGAAATCCAGAATCCAGGAATGGACTCGATCTAGAAACTGCTTGTTCAGCAGTAGGTTCAGTTAGATAGGACTTATTGCCACCTACCCAAGTCCAAAGTACGACTAATTTATTTAGTACATATGGCGAACAGATACCGTTTTACAAATTCGTCTCGATTGTAGCCCTTAGTTGAGGCCAACTGTGATCTGTCGTCCAAGGCAAGTATTTGTGCCTTTTTTGGCATTATTTGTGGTCTCAACGCGCAGCAGCCCAGTGATTATTGCTAGACGCCTTTTTGTTTAATAGGCTTGAGTTTCATTCAGTACTACTTGTTGAGTGTTACCTTCCGCTCTACTTGACGACTAAACGTTTCTCCCACCTCATTCAATGTTGCGTCCGTGTTTTTCTTATATTATTGAGCTAAATTCACTTGCTCAATTTTCAGAAATGGTGGGCATCGCGTTTGATGGATCCTAACCGCCTTCTTCTGAATGAGGTAAGTTTTGGCGTATCGCTGTCGTTTTTTCTTTGGTTTTTGAAATCAGCTCAAAATATAATTGCTAAATTTTCAGGATTCTGCATCTTACTTCTCGATTTGGTCTCTCAATGACAGCAGTCACTGAGACTGAAAAGTAAGTACACTAGTGGTCCGACGTTTCGCAAACCCGGTAAAGGGTTCAGGTGTGTTGTGTGCATTGTATTCAGCTTTGAAACGAACATGTGAAGTAACTTGTAAGTTTCATGGCTTCGCGTCACACTTTTCCTGAACAGACTTAGACCCTTTTTTGGACTCCATTATTAATGAATCTGAGGTGATTTAAGTTTATTTAACCCTCGCTGTAATAATATAACTGTTTGTCTATAGTGGCACCTAAGCTAAGTTATGGCTAGAATAATGTCCTCCGTGGTTTGGAAACTAAAATCATTTCTGTAGTTTATTTCACTTGCCTCACTCACGGTCAGATAGACATTGTCATCCTTTCATCCATTATTAGGTTAACCCAATTTTCCTTCTGGCGAAAACTACTTGCGCATCTTCAGGTGACGTTAATATGAGGTAGTCGGTTTGGTGCAGCATCCTTCTAATCGTGATCTCTTTCCTGTTTAAATCTGTCGGCCATACATACCCAGTACGTTTGATCAGGCTGATACACTGCCGCATGTTGACAGTGTTCGACCATCTATGAAGTCTACCCTGACTATCCTCCGTTTTGATAATGTGGAGAGAGTGGTAAACACCCATCTAAGAATATCATGAATGGGGAAGCAGTTTTCTTCCACAGTCTGAATCCTCCCTGGAAGTAGAGTCTTCTGATAATCGGACAAGAATCAATTCTGGTTTAAAATGGTAATTGTCAGTTACCGATTGAACGCACAGCTCACATTAGATAGCCGAAGTCTACTCTTGGGCCACAGACTGCTTTTGCCTATAGCACCGTCAAGGACGTACGCCTGGATATTTTGGGGAGCTGACCGCAGGTGGACGCATCCGTTTAACTGGGCCGCCCCCTCTGTGCGACCACCGGAACTTTTTTCGTTATGTCGGGAAGCGTTTTATAGGGTCGCCCAATCACTATTTGGTTTTTATTAAAGAGATCTTCGGTTGTTTGAACTTTTCAACTTTTTACAACATCGCCACGAAGACATAGCGCCTTGTTAATTTACAACTGGATATGTTTCCATGGATTCTTTGACTATACCGAAGAATTTATACGAGAACTGGATACCAGGAGAGATGTCGGTAGGACGACAACCCGTTAAAACGGCGCCTACATAAACACCTCAGACTGGAGGAATATCTCAATGGTTTGCGTTGAGATACAGTTTGAAACTTGTACAGCACACTGCAGTTACCGTTAGTTTATCCTTAGTCAGTTACTTCAGAGGGATGGACGCTTCTCAGAGGGAGACAAGTTTATCGCAAATATGAGTGTCACACGCGCACATCGATACTGGGCTTCCCGTCAAGTTAATCGGGACACGAAGTTTGAATCCCAATGTCCACCTTATGATTCCCAATTGTGACGAATAAACTCTTGCGGTAGGGGTTTTCAGGATCAAACCCCATTCTTGATGTCCACCGATATTCCAAACACAAACTTTGCATTTTCAGGTAAGGTATTCCTACTGTCAACCAGTATTCCGGCTGTCTGGCTAATTCAGTAGCTGGTTGAAATGGATTTTCAACATTATTTCCATAGTTTTCTCGATGCGGTCCGAACCAATGTATACGCAATACCTCGAAGTCAAAACAAGATGGGTGTCCTCAGTTTTGTTTTGTCAAGGTTCGACCGCGGTGCTGTCTGCCTCACGGGTTCATTCATGTGCATTCGTTTCCGGTGTTTGAAATCTTTTATTTTGCCCGTTCTCACTGTTTTAGCTTTCACGGCTTCTATCGATCGGGTTGACTGAAGGCAGCAAGACCTTTTCAAGTGAAATGACATACACCAAGGACACTATTGTACAGCCAGCTGCATCAGCACCGCGACAAACGCCAGGTAAGCGCAAGCAACATTATACAGATAGTGAATACGTGCTTTTTGGCTATGCCTCCTATGCTATATATCTACCAAATTATCTCCATAATGACCTATTAATTATTGCATGATGTGAGCTGCTAGCACTGAAAGTGGCTGCTCTTTCCAATATTAACCTCTCAATGCCCTTCCACTTGTGGTATACTGACAGCTGAACATAAAGGGATACAGGACAATCATGTAAGGAAATTTGTTGCGTCACCACTGCTCCCACATTGGGTTCAAGATGTGACCAAGTGCTCAATCCCAGTAGCTGGTCAATCGACGACAGAGTTGTAACCTTTTGCTTTTTTGGTCGGTGGTTCGAGAGCCAAAGCATCGAGTGTCATCGTACTTCTGCTCACTTCTAATGCGTGTTTCCTATTTCGCTTCTCCTCCGAGACAATCTTCCACAGATTGGAGGTAGCCTTGTTTGGTTATTGGTCTGTTCGCCAAGCTTGGCAGTTAGATTGCAAACGTTTCACCACCAATTGAGATGACATCGTCAGTGCCGGGATGAGTTGGTTTCCTCCATAACCTCGAAGAGGCGCTGTGACCTCGTCTATAGGCACTGCACTTATAATGGTTAACCTAGATGCGACCAGTTGCAAACCGACCGCTGATTCATTTGGACAATGTAGCGGTCAACTTCCAGCAGAGTATTTCGTTTCAAGACTGCCGCTGTTTGTAGACTACCCAATTAGGTTCTTACCATGGCGTCGTACAGATATGTACATCACTTCGCCAGTTGACGCCCCGCCATTCAGTTCATTATTGCCAAAGATCTTCCGCATCCCAAGAGTGGTAATTTGATGCAGAAGCACAGGTCAAGTAGGAGTTTTCGGTCTCTGAGCGTTTGCTTTCCCAATTATCACGGAAGGGGCTGAGGATCTGGTACTTTTCGCGATGGTCAAGTATGATCATTTGTGTTCCGCTGTAGTTCAGTGCGTGTAACGACTGTTTTCGTTGGAAATTCCATCCCGCAAATAGTTATCACTGGTGATTCACAAGGCTGGCACAGTCGTTCAATACTTCTCGGCCTCAGGACGGATTGACATTTAAAAGTGCCCTAGTACTGCCATAATAATATAGATAATGTTTTGTTGTTTACCATGACTGTTTTGAAAGGAACAGTTTCAAGAGTAACGCATCTTGGAATGAGCTTCGATATGTCTAAGCTTGTCGTGAGTTGCATTTCTTACACTCCACGAGTAGCATCTGGGATATTTTTCTAATGCATGCAACGCGTTTCCCCTCGCTGGTCGGGCATTGACTTAGCGTCTTTATTTGTTCATCATCCATTGCATTACTTTGATATTTTCGGTTTATCAACCGCAATACAGCTGAGCCGATCATCAAGTTAGAATTGGACGATAAACCCAACGAAACTAATCGCCCAATCGTTCCTTCGAAACAAAAAGGCTTCTTGGCTGGCAAGCCTCAAGTGCTTACAGACCCAGACTCGTCCACAACTGCAGCTGCACCGAATTTCAACTCAGATGAGGTTGTAATACTTCGACAAGAAATGGTACGTTCTTACCAATGCATTGTGCTATTGTTTAGTGAATTCTTCGTCAGAACCCGCTTTTTTCTAAATCACCAATTTTTGAGGAAATCTCAGACGAATTTTAGTAGCTTGCCTCTCGAAGTGTGGTGACATGAATGGTGCTTTATTCAGACATCCCACTCATTGAGTCGGACAGTGTAGCCGAACCGGGGGTCTTGAATCTTTGTTTGCTCATCTTAAACAATTGTTTTTAGCGAAGGATCTTCTTGTTTCCCATGCTGTTCTTGCTGAGGTTAAAGGCTGCTTTTGACCATAGGGCATAATCGCTGCCCTGATCTGCCCTTCAGTGCTTGCCGAATGCGGATCACATACGGATGCTGCTTACTATGAAACTGTTAAGCACAATACTCTCTCCGCATTAGAAAACAATAAAATTAATAATTGCCCAGTTGTAACACCCTTTCGGTGCATAGCTACTATACCACCCGAAGGATGCAAGAGGACCGAGTTACTGGCAGATTGCCCAAGCAGTCGAGATGCTGGCAGTGGGTGTGAACCAACCACCTTCCGGTCAGCAAGTTTGCTCGTTAACCACTGGGCTATCACGATTAGAAAACCCTTAATGGGAGGCCACTATGCTGGTGGTGGCAAGCACCTCGTTTTCATGGTTGTCCTAACGCAGAGGATCGTCATAACTTTGTATTTCGATGAATCTCTCAAGCCTCGTCGCTTCATTTCGGGCCTTGCTGAATCAAGTATATACTGGGATTTTGAGTGGGACGTTCACAGTGTACAAAAATAACCGGGTACTACTTGGAATGAGATGATGATGAGTTAAACCGGTTTTGCAACTGAAGAAACAATCGCCCCGATAAACTATTGGCTAGCTTCGATAAGGAAGAAGTTTTTACGTGGCCGCTTTCGGTATCCAATTACATGCACATTATAATGCCCTTGCAATGAGTAGTTAGGTTCCCCGTAGACTGAATGCTGCTGTTCTCGCATGATGTCCTCGGGGCATCGACTTATCGATGTGTTCTGTAAGGTGCTGACTGGATGGCCGAAATTGATCATCCTTGATGTTTCATCCGTGAGGCATCGGTGGGTGTCCCTGTTCCTTTGTGCCCATCGGTTCTTTAGGATGTTTGAGAGTGAAAACATCGATGTGATCTTGGGGTCAGCTCCGGTTCGAAAGTATTTTTCTACCTAGTTCTTTGGAGGCAAGTGAAAGTTGATCGTTTCTCCTACCAGACGGCAGTTGACGTACGGGAGTGGATAAAACTTGACCTGATAGCTTAGGATAAAAGTCACGCCAATGCTCAACGTAGGAATGTAGTCAGTGCGGTGACTATTCCGTTATACTGTGCACCAAATGGCTTATCATGCCGACATTTCATTTGCTATAGACGTTTCCATGTTTAGAGTCTAATTTTTTCGTTGTTCCCCGTTACCCTCGATAATTGTAGCCTTCGCGTAATAAACGCAGTGGTCGCCAACGAAAAAGAAAACAACCTGCTGATCACTCTTTCGTTCAAGACGTTTCAGGTGCAAATGAAATCTCTGATTCCGGAACCGCATCAGAAAATTTCACAGAGACACACGTAGCAATGAGAGGTTAGTGTTATTATTATACCCTGATACGAAGTTTGGTTTGTTTGCTTCGGCTGGTTGACATTGGAATCAGTCCGTACAGCGTAAACTAAAATCTCCCTCACTTTGGGCTGTCGCTCTCAGTTCTGCCCGACTGTCTCCCTTCATCACATTCACATTTTACTTTTATGTTTGGGATATTTTCTTGACTACTTGGAGAAAAGAAAATGACTTGGAAGTATCAGAACAAGGAAGGAGGATAACATTTAGTTAGAGTAAATCACGGATTGAGGGGAGAATCCGTTTCACGTTTGGTACAATGAGACACTCCCGGGAACCCGGTCAGAAGCAGGGGAGTGACATAACAGATTCACAAATGGGAGATCCACTGGGACCTTCATAGTGTTGGAGAGGAGGTGACAATGGAGAACAGCTAGATGGAAAAGTGTTAATCAGACTGTGTGAAGTGTACCTTGCATGTTACACTGTGAATTCAAAGTATGTTCGAGGAGTACTTGTTGTTCAGGATGGTTATACGGTCGCTCACTCACAATGCATCGTGTTGATGGATGGGGAAACACCAAGTGACGTCTACCCACTGCCTGAAACCTATGAAAGCTCACAGAAGAGGAGCAGGCAGGCAGATTCAAGGTCGAAATTCTATGAGATGCAGAGACTCCCTGTTTTGAAACTTGCATTGGGTTACTCAGAGAATGGTTCCACATTTTCGAACAAACCCTTGAAGAAAAGTCATCCACCTACACTTATTCTCTCGTTTATGGTGTTTTTGTAAATGAGTGTACTTCTCTAATCTTATGCAATTTGGATTCAAGTGGAACATAAGGTTGACGGAAACTCGGAGACCGCGCCTACCTGATGAGTCCCAAGAAGGGCTGTGGATTAATTTTCAGCAACCTTATGACTAGTGTATTACGTCTATCAGAAGACTGTTTTTGCACTTGTACTTTCATGTCCAACAACATTGGGAAAATAGTCATGTGTAAGTAAGTTGGCTTCATGTGTCGAACGAAATTCACACAAGCCGTTCTAGAAAAGTTGAAAAGTTCTTCTAACACTGCTAATATGAAGGTTACTCTGTGATACAATACGGAGGTTAGCCTTCTAACGAAGCTTAACATCCGTTTTGCTGCTATTCTCTTCATCCTGCTTACGCAAGCAAGACTCTGTCGACATCAGGAGGCGTTCGACATTGTGAAGATTTTGAATATTTTAGTTGTTGGTCTGTTCGCCGAGCTTGGTAGTTGGATTGCAAACGTTTCATCACCAATCGAGGTGACACCGTCAGTGCAGGGTTGAATGGGTCTGTCACCCAACGCACCGGAGCTAACTACATTCCATATTGCCAATTTTGAGCATTATTCCCAAAGAAAGTCAGATTGAGCAACTGTCCAACCATTTTTTTCGGTAGCTACCTTGGTACAACAAAGTTCAGCAGCGCCACCTACTTAGATTCAGGTGCGTCCGTTACAAAACGGGAGGCAGTATACAGAAGGGGTCCCTTGCTTAGATCCTTCTACGGATTATCGAATTCTATCTGGGCGTGTCTAAATTATTAAATGAATCATCATAGTGGGTTCATATTTCGCCTGTTTAGGGCTTTATTTAGTCTACAGACTTGGTCACTAGAGGCAGAATCGAAGTGTGTACAAATCCTGCCGCCAATCATCGTCTGCGATAAAGTGTAATGATTCTTCCTGTATTTCATTGCAAACATTTTTTGGAATTTTTTCAAGTGTAGGTGGATGACTTTTCTTCAAGGGTTTGTTCGAAAATGTGGAACCATTCTCTGAGTAACCCAATGCAAGTTTCAAAACAGGGAGTCTCTGCATCTCATAGAATTTCGACCTTGAATCTGCCTGCCTGCTCCTCTTCTGTGAGCTTTCATAGGTTTCAGGCAGTGGGTAGACGTCACTTGGTGTTTCCCCATCCATCAACACGATGCATTGTGAGTGAGCGACCGTATAACCATCCTGAACAACAAGTACTCCTCGAACATACTTTGAATTCACAGTGTAACATGCAAGGTACACTTCACACAGTCTGATTAACACTTTTCCATCTAGCTGTTCTCCATTGTCACCTCCTCTCCAACACTATGAAGGTCCCAGTGGATCTCCCATTTGTGAATCTGTTATGTCACTCCCCTGCTTCTGACCGGGTTCCCGGGAGTGTCTCATTGTACCAAACGTGAAACGGATTCTCCCCTCAATCCGTGATTTACTCTAACTAAATGTTATCCTCCTTTCTTGTTCTAATTTACATCCACGATGTCGTTTTCCGACGACCTGTGTTACTGTCTGACACTCGCTTTAGGCAAGCGAGGTGCACCTTGTTTCGCAATATCATGCACTAATACTAACACCGCCACTGGGGTGAGTCATCTCGGCGTGCACACGCGGATCGTGCGCACTGGTTTGGCTGCCGACCCCAGACACCTAAACTCCTGTCTGGCACAACAGACTCGCGGCTGTGCGCTGCCGTTACTGCTGCTGTTGCTGTTGTTGTTGCGTGAAGATGGCGCACACTTCTGTCCTACAGCTCTGCTTCTATCCACATTTTCTGGGGTGATAGTCAGTTTGACGTGTGTGATTCACCGGATTCTTTTAACTAGTACGGATCATGGACGGTCGTTCAACTGTTCATGTGGCCTTGTGGGCATCAGTCTGTTCCCTCTCGTTTTCTCGCATTCTGGCCGGTTTTCAGACTGAGTTTTCTGTGCCGAGCTACTTACCTTCTTTTACCTACAGTTTGATTACTTTTGACCAATTTTGGCACCAGGCGAGTAACTAGTTAGGATGAGTGAAACTAGCGCACCTTGAGTGCTCAAGATTTACAAATATCCATCAGGCCGTCTAAGTTAGTCGGTTGACTGAGGAGCTCGTTTTCTAATCGTCGGGCATTCCTTCACGGTTTTGTCATTCTACTTTCTGCATCTCGGATATGTCGCTGTGTTACAATAAACCGTAAACTTCTCCATTCTCCATTATCAACGAAAGTATCTGTGGAAGCACGCGTAACAATTTGTGGCTCTGTGTGTGTCGTATCATCTGGCGATCATACTTTGTACAATAAAGAGGAGCCGTCGCCTTGGTGCATCCAGTGGTCCGCACTAATATCGAGCACGGAAAACCAAGGTCCATTCGATTTATGGGATTTGTTGTGGTCCTCACAAAGACATTCAGGAGATGCGGCGAAGCCCAAGTTTACAAAACCATTAAAAATAGCTTGTTTCTCCCGGTTCGTTTGTTTCTTTTTCTGTAGGATTCGGTACTTTTCACACTCAGAGTTATTCCACCACGATTGTGTTGCAAATTAGAGCTTTCGAAGTTTGGATGTAGTAATCAGTCTACTTATACAGTGAAGCGAATGTGTTTGTTTCTTCCTCCATCTCCTACTTTCATCGTTGTCGTCACGGAGAGCATAACATCAGTGTTCAATACTGGTGCTTCGCTGCTGAACGAATTTGAAAGCTTTATTGTGAAGAAAAGAGGCATGGGGAATGGATTTCGTGTTGTCCCACCAAAATCATTCCAAGGTCACCACACCTTGAAACAATCATTCAGGTAATTCGCATATAAACTAACAACAAGGGTGCCGCTGACGTCGATTAGCAGTCATATCTTGCAGAGTCTCCACCCAGGCACAGTAGGGCTCACGCGGTTCGAGAAGGCGAATCGCACCGACAACACCCAGACATTTTGTAATCTCCTTCCTACCCCTCTGTCAGGTCAAAGGTTGCCAACATCTCTACTTGCACCACTCTGAATTGGGCAAACCATGGTTCGGCATGCGCAGTGTGTGGCCTGACCAACCCGCATTCTCGTGCTGGACACACTTCGAGTGAATCAAACACACAATCAAACACTCGCTTTCTAATTGCCTCGAATTGCCTCCACGAACTATGGATCTGAGACAACGGTTGTTGAAAAACTCTAAGTGTCTCGGTTCCGCTGCTTGAAGGGACCAAGAGTCACAGCTTCCACCTTGACGTAGTGGTCGAGCTTGAGTGCCTCAATAATCCCGTGAGCTACGTACTGGCTAGAACTTCGTTTTACAAGGTGCAACCATGCCCGGTAGGCCAAAGGGGAGCAGTCAAACTAAGGGCAACGAGATCCCGTCCTCCGAGTAATCGTACTACGAGGGGGGAAAATTCGTACTGTGCTCAGCAATATGGATGCAAAGGCAGTAAGGTGTTTCCCTTAAGTAACTAGCATGTCCATATTCATGGAAGTAGCGATTCTGCCTTCTTCTGATGAAGAACGGGTCAGAAAAGGCCAGACCCAAAAACCTCACACTCTGATCGCCCAACGGTTGACCGTGACCGCCGGCGCCTTATTCAATACGGCCGAAATACTCTTAAAATAGAAGAGTCTGCTGCTGTGCGCAACCGCATCAGGAGTGAGACACTAGTGCTTACTCCTTGCGCCCTCAGGCCAGGCCCGCCCCCTGCTGCGAAGTGGGTCAAACTATTGAGTAGGGTAGGTTCTCCAGAAAACCCTATATCCTCCAACTGCCTTGTGGGTCTAACTTTTGAGTCAAAGGTTTAAGGTGAAGTATCTCAGCCAAACCCCCTCCTTCGGCCATGGCAAACGAGAAGTATCATTTGTGCGCACAGTTCTGTGTCCATAGATGTCCCTCTCTAACTCATTCCCACTACGGAAGCGAACGTTGCTGGGTCCTTTGACTTATGCACCCCGACGCCTATTAACAATAGACAAAATAACACCTAAATTCACAAAATCCTTTCTGCATAGGAACTTTCAACGTCCATACTCTATGTCGAATTGGCAAGCAGCCAATGCTCGCTGAAACCTTATACCCCTCTAATGAATGACCTCAGAAGTAGTTGAAAATCTGTTCTTTAATGATCTGATGGTTTTTTCACTATTGACATCGAGAAGTCCAGCACGAAAACGCAGTTTCCCCTCGAGAGTCTCCTGTTCGCTTTCGGTCGCTCCGGCTATTGTGCGATTCCTTTGGACACCCACCCTGCGGTAACGGAAATCCTTCTCATATACCCATCACCTTTGTCGAATCCGTTTGTCCTGTTTAGTCGTGTCGTGTATACCGGATATAGTAGTGTGCGGATTTTTCCAATCCGCGTAAAACCAATGGGAAGTGATGCCAGTGTCCTTACCACTGAGATTTCATTTTTCAACTTATCCACACTTATGGTTTCCAGCGACCCACTAATTTATTGTGTCAACCTGATCATCATCAACTGCAAAAACCGCATCCACCTTACACAGTTTCGTTCGCCGATGATTTTTGGGAGGCCGGAGGCGACAGCTAATATAACCGGCGCGTAAATACAGGAGTGTTACTGCACGTTTCATTGGGGAGATCAGGCGGGTAGCTATACAGTAGTAGCTTGGATGCATGAATGCCACTAAGGGTGCGACGATGCCTCTAACCACTGATGCATCCTATCACCAGAATTAACCTTTTAAATTCCAATTAATTTTGGGTTTATGTTTAATAGGTTTGTTGACAAATTTCAACAAGCGGATGATTTAATTCTAAGCTTCATTAGATTAAATGTCTTCAAACTAGCCATCGCCAGCTTCGTTTACTAATCCCAGTGTCTTGTGTTCTCAATGCAACATGTTGACTTATTATTCTCTTGTAACTGCATCTCACGGTGGTATTTTCTTTCGTTCAAGGAATGGCCTCCCAGAGGTCCAAGATGAGTCGAAAGCCGCGCAACACCGCACAGACCCGAAGAACACGTGGCAACATTCACCATCAAGGACGAAAGTCTTAAAAACACGGACGCTTAAATGATGCACTTACGCTGGATTCCACCACTTCTTACTTCCTCACACGAAGCGGTCGCATTTGGTCCAACGAACCAATTGCTTGCCTCGATTTTGCCTCTGTTTGTTTTGTTCTCGTAACTATCCATCCACAGATGGCGTCCAGAATTATTCTGCTTTTGACCGCTCATTAAAGTGCTGATCAGTTTTCTGTCTTTTCCCGTATTTATCCTCATTCCTCTTTAGCGGTGGGGCCGAACTCACCTATGGCGTGTAGGTTTTCTGAGTGGTGTGTTTAGAATGACAACAACAACAGCAACGAGAACTTACCAACCCGGTTCGCCTGCGTAACAACAGTTTTGATTACCTTGCCAAAATATGGGTCGAACTGACATAACTGTCGGACAGGGTGGTCTGCAGAACGAGCAGTGTTGACCTATTTCCCCTGTCAATACTCGTTCTTTCCCCCACATCGGCTGAGTATGGAACGTCCCTTCGAAACGCAGACTGCGCCATTTTGATGAAAATTGTTTCTCTCCGTTTAAGTATCCACATCTCAGGTGACAAAGGCAGTGATAACTAAAACAAACTTGTTTGTGAATCCCAAAGCATACACAGGAACTTTGCACTTCTCATTCAGCTCTATTGTTTAATCATTGCAGGTGAATCCGATGTTCACCCATTATTTTACTGTACTTTGGTTGGTTTCACGAACTAATGTCAATCCGTGAGAAGTTGAGGCGTGTGATTTTTTATGCCTAACTAACTCCGCCTTGTTTACTTGCTGATCGACTTTGTGGATCTCTCAGACAATGCGAGAACCCAATATTTACTTATGGTCGACATTTCATCCTCTGATCCTCTATGAGCATATATTTCCATTGTGATCTTGGCTAACCTTTGTGTCATCAGCTTTTCAAAGGACTTTCTCGTGCAACGAGTGTAATCCTGCCTTGTGTAACACTCAGTATGTATTAGATGTACTCATCCTAGAGTAGTCGTTCCAAGCTATGTTCAACTCAAAATAAGCCTCAAAAAGGAACTTACAAATGCTATGTTGTCCGTCGTTTCATGTTTCTCCAAATGATCGACGTTGAACGATGACAGCCCACCTGCGTCAGAAAATACATTCAGATGTAATGTACCTTGATGTACATGCTGGAAGAGGGACCAAAGTGTCTATCTTATCATTCTAGGGTGTCGCGCACGATAATTCTTAGGCTTCTGCAGGCAGTCTCGTTTGTCCCTTCCAGAAATACTTACTGTGGCTTTCCCCCAACAAGCCACAATCTTCGGAAATACTGGTTTGACTGCTTGTTGGTGGAGGAGTTTATTTGATGCTGGGTGACTTCGAAAAATCCCGGCACGTTCCATTTGCGGATTGACATTTTAGCAGCACTACCTGATAGCCATTCATGTCCCCTCACAACCCACCCCCAGCACGATTGACGTCCGTACGTACTTTGCCATGTCGACCAACATTTTAATTAAGTGTATTATTGTGCTTCAAGGTAAAATAATTCGATATCTTTATCGCGTAAGTTCAACCCTTGTTCAACTTTCACGCCGTACGTTCGGTTGTAGGACATTAAAAACAACAGTGGTGGCATTAGAATCTCGATTGAGTCTCCCGTCCTCACCAGCCGGTGTACGGATGGGTGATTTAATGTGCTCTAATACAAACACAGTGCCTAAACCAGTATGCAAAGAATGCATTTGTTCATCGAATAAAGCAATGTACGAAAGCCATGCGCAGTTCGGTTATCCGTTACCAGTGGTGTGATAACTAAAGACCCTTCTCAGTAAACTCAGATATTGTTGGTACTGGGCGAAGTGCGTACGATTCATCAGAAAAAAGCTTTTTAACCCAACTGCCGTATCCACCAACGTTCTTCTGTGTCGCACATTCACTTTGAACGCATGCATCGGGTAGGGAATGCACTTCCAGTTAGTCGATGCGTGTCTCATGCACCCAGTCAAGCACCGTCCCGGTTTCAATACGCGTTACGGGACAGCGATGGAGCCACAGTCGAACAGATCATCAAATCAACCACCACGATGAAAGCTGAGCGGACTTCTACTCGTTAGTTTTACTCACCAACTAGGCAAAAACTTAGTAGTCTGTGTTAGCAGGCTATGGTAAGCCTGCTAACGCAGATCCGTATGGACCGATCAGTAGCACACTTCCACATTGCTATACTCATTTCGGCAGTTTTTCTCGAACATTTGTAGGTAGAACTAGGGTGTGCGTGTGTGAAAGAAGTTGTCAACAGAAGATGCAATTTTGGATGTTTATCGAAAACCATATACTATTGGAGACAAATGCCTTTTATGAAACATTTCTTCGTGCGTTTTTGGACTTTGTCTGCAGTGGCCTTTTTTGCCATACTCTTCCAACATGGCCAGGGGTTGGCCCATCATGGATCGTTGTGAGTAGGTAACCCATGTCCATATGAACACCAGTGACCTACGTTCGATTTTGCACCTGTATTTTGATAAACCCTTATCGGTTCCTTTAAGCGGTATTTCGGGTACTCCTTACGGAGAGGAGCATTTACTGGTGCCCGAGACATTCTTGTCGATACGAATCACGTTGTTCAGTGTTCTAACTCTCGAATTCAGTTCTGTAGTCAAAGTGAAACAGCTTCCTTTGGTATTATGTGCAACCTTTGTGGTTGGTGGAAGTTCATCGACTCTCAGATAAGCTTGAAGTTGCTCATTTGATTTAAGAATACTACCAACGACCCATAAAAGTCCCAGCATTCCAGGTTATTGCTTTTTATTAAATAATTTTCATTGGGAACTAGATATGCACCGATTTCTCAGTTTCCACAAGTAGATGGGTTGTCAGCTCCCGCTCATCACTTATCGGTGCCTAGCAAAACCACCCCTTGTCGTCATCCCTAAGATGTAAACATCCTGAAGATGTGCTTAAACGAACGAAGCACTGAGATCAAACGTTACTCAGCAGTACATTCACTGACTGTTTTCCAAGCTTTCCTAAACTAGTGATTCTTCGGTCCGGCCCATGCTTTCATATTCAACATTTCATTGTTTCGTGAGAATTTTAACTACCCATCTTGGATCGTATTACTGACATTCCTCTGACTAACAATACTTTTTGCAATTCTCTATTACCTTTGGATTTGATGGAATGTCGATGTTTTTCTGTCTTCTGGGCACGAGCGTGAACTCACTTGAAATATGGTACCTTATTTGCATTCATGACTAGATAGCTGCGCAATTCCAATAACACGTATCCGAGTGACGTGGTAATCACCACACTGCACCAATCGAATACTCTTTTGGTGGCCCGTCTCGCTTTTCACATTCCGAATGGGCACTGTTTCGAGGTAGGACGATAGCGCCGTTAATTACTAGGCTTGCTAAACTGCACTACGGACTGACGAGCGTAAAGCCAGATCCAGTAACTAGAATACTAAGTAACTTGGTCTTTATGTAGCACAATTCAGTTGAATTATATTGCAAGTGTAGCTTTCAGAGAACTGTGTCGTGATTTCAACCCGCTTCCAGCTTCTTGTTAGCACGGTCAAGATGCTAAAGGGACCTTAATATTTGAGAGAGGCAATTTTGATTCGATGCGTTTATTAGCCCTCCAGCCCTTGATTGCGATGTCGAAATCCAACAAAATTTCGTCAGTTCTCATGCCGGTAGTCTCGACTGAATGACCTATCAATAGACTCAACAAGTAGCGAGAGACTGAATGGTGAGTACATCCAGACGTTTGAACATTCTATATTGCCAGAAGTAGGTGAGTAATGGGATACTTTAAAAAGCTTAACTGCACAGTTGTTTCATCTGGAGGTGACTTCCAGCACATCATGAAAGCGTCAAATTGAAGTCCTGATTTCAGCTTGATTGAGAGCCAGCACACGAAGCGTACCAGTGTGCAAACGTGATTCCGTGATTTTGTTGGCTACTGAAAGAGGCGAACTGAGAAGTGTGGTCATGATTGACAGAAATTCCAAGGTTTAATGACAGTGTAGGTGTATTCCAACTCGGATTTTCCGACCAGCAATGGTCAAACTGCTTGGTGCCTGTGCACATTTGGAAGGCTTCAGACGGTCTGTATGGAGCATGTATGTTCATTGTGCCGACGCAGACCCAAGAGAACAAGATAGACCAAAGTCACCAACTGGCCTAAGGATACTGGAATGACAGATTTGCGCAAAATGATTCCATGGTTCTTCCTAATCGTTCAGTTGCGTTCATTCTGCATACGTCACCTCGAATACTGTGGCATATCGTCCACCGGCCAACAACACTTCCATCTACGAAGGGTAATTTTATGTTGTCGGGTCTGTAGCCGGGCGCAGAGTGTTCCCTCACTGACTCCCGTTCACCCAACCTCCAGAACATGAGACCACTAAGATTTCATTCCCATATTATAATCAAGTGTGGGGCAACGGTGTCATTTACAATCTCGGGCGATACAACCTAGCACATTTATAATATGCATGTCGAAAGCCTGGGTAAATAGTTTCATGCTACATGTGTTCCCCTGTCAAACGCTCTTTCCGTATGCAATGTAGTACGTGTTCAATAGCGGAATCTGGGGAGCTTCCAACATATAAACCTTAAGATCTCTGTGAAAGAAGCTCGTTTTTATGCAGTGTCCAGATGACCTTGTTCTTATTTTTCAAAATGCAGTGAAAGAAGTACATTTTCTGTTAAACTTCTAATCAACGATATGTTCTTCACACCCACACTTTGAATCCAAGACTGATAATGATTGAAAATGCGCAATGATGGATACGAAATTTGCACATACAGGTATTTGTATTAACCATAAGACATGAAATCAACACACCACTAAAAAACAGACTTAACCTGGCAATACATGCCACTTGTGGTATCAAAAGCGTAAAATGGAATCTCAGAGGGTGCTTGTTCCAAACTAAATTAGGGGAAGTGTTGTGCGGTTGTGAACACATTATCCGAGATGTACTTGGGATTTTTTTTTATCCCTGGTGTCTCAAAACTCATCCTCGTATCAGCTACAGTGATATGATCAGAAAACAGATGTTCGGCGAAGCAACAGGTGTTCCATTCAGGGTTTATGTCCAATGCTTCAAGCTTCGATGATCTTTCATGGGGATATGCATGACGAATGCTCGTCCACCGGTTGGAGCGTCGTTCTTCGTGTCCTTTTCAGATTGATGAAAGCTCAGAGATGAACGGATGG